TATGAGGTCTGAGCAAGGAGGCAGAGGTTAATGAAAAAGCCACTAGGTCAAGGGAGGTGGGGGGCTTTTCAGCTAGACCCATGATGGAACTTTTCCAGCCAGGCTTAGATAGATTGCCCTGCGGGAGTCGGGCAGTCTGCACTTATCTTTGGTGGGTTGCCTGGTATCTGTGTGCACCTGGGAAAACTGGGTGGGAGTCAATCCTTCATATTCCATCTTTGGATACACAGAAAGAATGGGCCAAGGGAGGAGGGGCAAGTCTTTCCTATAGGGTCTTTGGATACATAAAAAGAATTGGGCTAAGAAGAGAGCAACATGCTATAATGAAAACAAAGCAGATTCCCATCAGTAATAATAATAATAAATAAAGTATGGTCAAATAGCCAATTTGACTTAGCTAACTCACTGGGGTTTCAGTTCAAAAACTATGCCTTGGATCAACGCTTGTTCTCTATCTGCTTCTAACCTTTATACTTTCTTATTCACACTTCCAACAAGAACATTGGTTCTCCACATGCCTCTCATTCTGCCAGACCTTCCACTTCCAACATAACAATCAGGAAGAGAAGTAAAAGAGGTTCCATGAGTAGTAAAATTGAATGAAAAGTTATATACCTGCCATGCATCCATCAATCAGACAGATATTACAGATAGGAATGTGATTAGACTAGGGACACAACAACTTACAAACTACTCCTTTCTACCCTCAAGAAAGGTTTTTTTTAAAAAATAAAAAAGCACTAGTAATTATTTTGTGACTGCTGTGACAGTAGCTAGGATTACTGTGATAGTGTTTCACTTAATCCTAACAATAATATTGCCAAGCAGCTATTGCTTAATCTTGCTTATAAAGAAGGGGTGGGGTGGGGGGGGGAAGAGATACTTTTGTTAGCTGCCGTTGTATAATCTTGAAACAATTAAATCTTGGCACTACTAAACCTATACATTAACCAAACTTTAGATATTTTTAGCAAGACTGAAGCAGTTTAGGGGGAGAACAAGATAGTCTTCCAAATGATTTTAATCGGATTACAAGAATTGAAGATATACTAGAGAGAATTTGATAAAGCAGAATATCAAGGGAAGTAAGAACATAATGGTATACGCATAAATAGGAATTAGTCATGCAATTAAAAATCAAATCATATCCCAAAGCTAGAAATAAGAGCAAGGATGAGAAGTGGGTTTAGATTTTAAAAGAACTTTATCTTGAAGAGTAGGATCAGAAATTGTAAGGACATTTTTGGCAACAATTTCTGCAGTAAGTTATGACACCATATTCTTAGCAGGAAAAGGATAACAAGACTTAAGCAGCTTGACAAAGATGTAAAGTACTCATCTGGGTGATAGATAATGGTTTTTCTTAAAAGTAGGAAAAAGTACTGATGAATTTTGGTCTGTAATTCAACCGATTTTACAGCTTATAGGTTTACTTTAGCTTCATATTTTCAAAGACAGAGATTTCAAATGAGAACCTTTGCAGAAAAGGTTGTTGTAGAATTTGGATTTGTAGATAATTGAGCTATAATTGAGAGAACTAAGAGATGTGAGAGTAAAAGCAGTTCTGTGAGTTCTGTAAGCTGTATAAAACAAAACAACAATCAAGCCATTGATCCTGGTATTTGGTCTGGGTAGCAAGGAAAATAGAGACTGATACATTTTCCAATGTGAAATTTTCCAATGTTTCTAGACTTTAATTACCAGGGAACAGATATTAGAAAACCACCTCTCCCTGGGGAACCAGGACAGGAGTTAAACATTATCAGTGCTCTGTTAAATACTGGTAAGGAATTGCTCCTGATAAGCCTCTACTGTGACCCCTTATATTTTTTAAATTTTTCCTACGTAGGCTGAGATATCGGGGTGGTTTTCTTCCTTTATCAACAGCTCCTAGACCATTCCCTGGGGCCTTTGTGGCCTTGAGCAAAGCACTATCAGCTTGACTGCACTAGATACTTTGAACAACTCCCTGGATATCTTGAGGAAGATGTATGAAAACCAGGGTTTATTACTAGCTCCTGAACGTGCTATCTCAGCACCAGCTTGAACCAGACTTTCTCCCAGCACAAACCTTATCAAACTCTAAGTGACCTTGCAACTATTTCCACATATGACAGAGAAAGAGGGCTCCCCTAGTGGCCCAGCAGGTCTGTGACTGGTGCAAACATAGATCTTCATTTGCATAAATAGGTGTCATGATTGGTTGACTGGTAGCAATGACTGTGCCATGATTGGTACAAGCACAATCCTTCATTCACACAAATGGATGTCCTTGTCACACCTGCTTTCAAGCTACTGAAGCATCCATTGAGGGACAGTCGCCTGTGCTGCTTTATGCCCCATATCTCAACATCAGGTCCAATAAAAATCTGTGGTAAATAACCAGGAGCCAGTGACTCATGCCTATAAGCCTAGCTACTCAGGAGGCTGAAATCTGAGGGTTGTAGTTCAAAGCCAGGCTAGGAAGAGAAGTCTATGTGACCCTTATCACCAGTGAACTACCAAAAAAGCCAGAAGTAGAACTGTGGCCCAAATGGAAGAATATTAGCCTTGAGAGAAAAAAAAAAGCTCAGGGACAGAACCTAGATGCTGAGTTCAAGTCCTAGGACTGGCACAAAAATACCTTTGATCAAATGATCTTCCTTGTCTTCTTTTTATTTTCAACATTAGTAGAGTGGAAATAAGAAGAAGAAAAGTGCAAATAATGGAGGTAGGAGCAGCAACAGGGTAGTGGACTTTATCCCAACAAGATCAAGAGAGGTGACAAGCTCTCTTCCCTAGTGGCAAGAGCCACCAGCAGAAGCAGCATTGAAACAGATAGTAGCTGACCTGGGCTACTTGCATTAGCAGGGGATTGACAACCAACTGCACCTCCCATGGTATCAGGAACATCAGGGCCTGATCAAAGCAGCAGGAGCAGGGCTTGCCTCTGTAACCAATCCATGCAGCAGCAGTGGATGTGACAAAAGAGAATGAAACAAAAGCAGGAACAAGAGTGAAACTAGCATTTGTGGAATATAAGAGTTGTAACTCTTGCCCTTTCTGTAGGCCATCAAAATGCTTGGGTCTCCAGCACTTTCAAGTATGCAAAACAGTGCTGCTGTTCTAGATGTCTAAAATCCCAAGACCCCAATCACCAAAGAGGAGGATGGAAGCTGCCAGACTAGAGGATTGAACCTCTCATTTCTTGCTGTTATTTATCTTTGTTGTTCCTTGGGATTACAAAAACCTACTAAAGGCTAAGAAAAATTGGGAGAGCTTCTCGTCTATCCACATTCTCTCTCACTAGAGCAGGACCCTAATCAACTGGTTTGTGACAACAGGTCTGTGCTGTTATCAAGGAAAAAATAGAAAACACGGGATTTCAACTTTTCTTTATCATTCTCCACTGCTCTCTTTCTACCTGGTAACCAGAGGGTAAACAGGGTAAGTTAAAATATTGGGAAGGACTAGGACTGCTAAAGTAAGGCAGTGACTCTTCCCCTGAAAAAAGACAAGATCTAGCCAAAATGAATTGATAGAAACAAGGAGAGTGTATACCGGACGATAGTCTGGGGATACTGGACAAGAGGTGAAAGGAAAATAAATTTGGATGAGGGAAAAGTTTAATGAATTGAAAGCATTTTCCAGGGCTAGAGAATTAAACACCCTGGCAAGGAACTCTGAGAAACATTGCTGTCATTCTTCTATGATTTTTAGAAACTAAAGAAAAAGTGTTAAAGCCACACTAAAAGAAGTAGAGATGTACTATACTATGTGCCATACCATGTACTATACCATGTGCTATAGCACATGGTAGTTGCAAGGAATGCACTAAGTAATTGTGCTAGAGTGTTCTACCATGTAAAGTTGGAAACTCCAAAGTTCTCATTTGGATCCTACAGAATCTTAAAGTGACAAGAATTCCCAAATGAGAAGGGCAACAGCACCACTGAGTAGCTAATAGTAGCTCTTTCCATAGGTCATAATTGATGATAAAAGAAGTGGGGATGATAGAATACTGAAGTAATAGAAATTAAGTAGTAGCACTTAACCACCACAAAGGTACAATTATCCTAATGAATGTCAAGATTTGAGTGACACCCACAGTTCTGAACAAGAGAAAGCTTTTAAGGCAGTTATTAGGATATGACAGCCATAAGTGGAAAAACAAAACAAGGAGATAAACTCCATCTACAGAACAAAAAGGTATTGTGGTATCAGGAACATCAGGCAGAAAGCAGCAATCAAAATAAAAATTCAATGTGAGAAGTGGGTAGTGATGGCTTGGAGGCTGCTGGATTATTAAAGGCACAGGTGAATACCGGAAAGAGACTGCTTTGCATGTTGTTAGAATGGAACCTGACAAAACAGAGAACTTAGAAGTTGATTCTAACTTGGAAAAGAGTTGGCTTTGGGGTGAAATGCTTATCTTCACTGTTATTATTACAAAGGAATGACTGCCATTTGAGTCATTGTAAATTCATTCATGCAACTACATACGTGGTCAGATTTCAATGTAGTTAATTTGAAACTTTCATTGCTTTGGAGCTGATTTCCAACTTCCAGTCACAATTACAGAAAACTATTTGTGGATGCCCCGGGGTTTCAATCAGGGCCTGTACTTGGACACAGCATTTGAACATATGAACGCGGTTATGGTTCAGGTAGGGTCGGGTCTGGCCTGGTTTGCTCAGGGCCTAGCGGATTTCAATCCTCCTACCTATGGCCTCCAATGTTGCTGGGATTACGGCCCCAGAACGCCACACTCTGTTTTGGCGGGGAAGGAGCTCTCCTTAGTTTGCCAGGCTGCCCGGCACTCAGATCCTGCCCAGCTCTAAGTCGGTGGGATTCCAGGCCGTGGCCGCGGGGCCCGCCGGTAGAAGGCAATCCTCCGCGCCGCGAATCCGGACGCACCCTCCCCACCTCTCCCCGCCCCTGAGCGCGGTTCCCGAGGGGACCTCGGCGCGGGCTCCTCCCCTCCCGGCAGGGGGAGCCCTGGCGGCCACGTCGCACGCCGCCCACGTCCCAGTTTGCGCGGGGCTCGCCTGCTCTCCGGAGCGCGCACGTCTCGGAGCGGGGCGTTGTGAGCCCGCGCCCGGCGGAGGGCCGGGAATCCGCGGCTGTGCTCCGCCGGGACTCGAGGGCGCCGGAACCATGTGGAAGTTGCTCCGGGCCCCGGCCCCGGCCCCCGGTAAGTGCGGGAAGGAGCGGGGAACGGGGGCCGGATTTCCCGGGAGCCGCTGAGGTGTGGAAAGTTCGTCGGGCGACGCTTCCGGTCCATTCCCGCCGCCTTCCGGCGCCGCCTCGGCTCCCGCCGGGAGTGTCGGGGGGCGGACGCGGCAGCCCCCGACTTGGGGTCTGAGAGTCCCGTCCTGGCGGGCCGGCGTGGGGGCGCGAGCCGGGCTGCCCCAGCGGCCCCTCCGGGGTGACGTCTCCGTGAGGTGACGCGGGCCGACCTGGTGACGTCCACCGCGGAGGCCCGAGGCCTGGCGGTCAAGTGACTTCCGGAGCCCGCCCCGGGCGGCCCTGGTGATTTTCCGAGCCGAGGGCTTGTGGCTGTGCAGAGCCCCGCCCCGCAGCGGGCAGCACCCCCCCCCCCCAGCCTTGCCGCCCCGCCCCGCCCCGCAGCGGGCACCCCACCCCCCCAGCCTTGCCGCCCTGCCCCGCAGCGGGGAGCACCCCCCCAGCCTTGCCGCCCCGCAGCGGGCAGCACCCCCCCCCAGCCTTGCCGCCCCGCCCCGCAGCGGGGAGCACCCCCCAGCCTTGCCGCCCCTCCCCGCAGCGGGCAGCACCCCCCCCCCAGCCTTGCCGCTCCGCCCCGCCCCGCAGCGGGCAGCACCCCCCCCCAGCCTTGCCGCCCCGCCCCGCCCCGCAGCGGGCAGCACCCTCCCCCCAGCCTTGCCGCCCCGCCCCGCCCCGCAGCGGGCAGCCCCCCCCCCCCAGCCTTGCCGCCCCGCCCCGCAGCGGGCAGCCCACCCCCCCAGCCTTGCCGCCCCGCCCCGCAGCGGGCAGCACCCCCCCCAGCCTTGCCGCCCCGCCCCGCAGCGGGCAGCACCCCCCCCAGCCTTGCCGCCCCGCCCCGCAGCGGGCAGCACCCCCCCCCCAGCCTTGCCGCCCCGCCCCGCAGCGGGCAGCACCCCCCCCCAGCCTTGCCGCCCCGCAGCGGGCAGCACCCCCCCCCAGCCTTGCCGCCCCGCAGCGGGCAGCACCTCCCCCAGCCTTGCCCCCCGCAGCGGGCAGCACCCCCCCCCAGCTTTGCCTCAGACCTTTACCCTGATTATCAGAATACAGAAAAGGTTGATTCCCTTCCACCTCCTTTTTTCTCAATTGTCCCAGTTCTCTTTTGTCCCAGTTGTGATCAGATGATCAAAATAACAACAATAACTCTGGATAAGTCTTGTCCCCAAGAACTTTACATTATGTCTGGGGGTAGGGGGCGTGGGGAGCAGAATCTAAATTGACAATGTAAGGGAATACAAAAATTTAAGAAAAAAAACTATAAAGGTACAAAGGTAAAGGCATCCTTGTGGCTTGAGTAGGTGGGCACCAAGATTGCCTTAAAGGAATGGTGGTCGGGGGTGAACCCATTCCTGAAGGTTTCTCTAGGTATGTAACAACCTTGCCAGGCACCAGTGGCACATACCTGTAATCCTAGCTACTCAAGAAGCTGAGATCTGAAGTTCAAGGTTTGAAGCCAGCCTGGACAGAAAAGTTCATGAGACTCTTATTCTCAACTAATCAGATTATCTAACGAAAATAGTAATTGTTCGTTTACGTATTAAAGCTGTAGCTTTAATAGTGTGGTGGTGTACAAGTGTAATCTTAGCACTTGGGAGGCTAAAGCAGGCCAGCCTGGGGTATGTAAGAAGGTATGTAAGGAGACATTGTCTCAAACAAAACCAAACAAAATGGAGGTTGAGGGAGGAGATAGAACCTTCAAAACAAAGCAGAGTTTTGAGTAAAGAAGGACTCCTGTATTGGGCATCCCTCTGAACTGGTAAAGGTTCAGAGTTCCCTAATTACCTTGGCCTGACAATATTTTTGTTTGTCAGTCGTGGGGCTTGAACTCTGGGTTTGGGAGCTGTCCAGAGGTGCTCTTCAGCTCAAGGTGAGAGCTCTACCCCTTGAGCCACAGTGTCACTTCCAGTTTTTTAGTGGTTTATTGGAGATAAGAGTCTCACAGACTTTACTACCGTGGCTAGCTCTGAACCACAATCCTGAGATCTCAGTCTCCTGAGTAGCTAGAATTGTGGGCCTGAGCCACCAGTGCCCGGCCAGGTCTGACAATATTTACAGAAAGAAGGAAACAACATACTGAAATAACCTGATCGGTTCCACTTCAGCAGTTGCCCTTATCTGCTTGAGCTTTGAGATCAAGACTTTATCATTAAACAAAACAACAACAACAACAACAAAAGGAATTTGTTTGACAGATTGTAATTTCAACTGTTTAGAAAGACCTCAGGACTTTGTTCCACTCATATCCAAACTGGTCAAGTATATCTATATCTGCCCCATGGTGGCCCATGCTTGTAGAACAAACTCCAAGTCTCCACATACATAATGCTTCTCCAACAATTCATGATTTACAACTTTAAGAAAAATTAATAGCCAATTCATGATTTAAGAACTAACTTTAACATTAAATTAAAATTCCCCCAAATATGTTCTGGCATATGATCTGAATGTATATGTGTTTATTCTTGGTCCACTATCATTACTTTCTTTTTTTTCCTTAGATCTAAGACCAGAACTCACTCTTTTCACTGATTGGCTAGCACTCTACCAACTGACCCGCACCTCCAACCCTTATCATACCTTTCACTGAAGCTTTATTGCATATTTTGCTATTAGGTCAGGTTCCTGTAATATTTTTCTTTTGTTGAATATCTTATCGCAGATTTTCTCAATGATGATTTCCCCCTTGGTAGTACCTGGCTTTGGACTCCAATCTCAAACTTGCTAGGAAGGTGCTATTACTACAGAATCATACCTCAGCCCCGATATTCACTGTTTATTTCTGAGATGGGATCTTCCTTCCTACCTGAGCACAATCTGTCTACTTTAGACTTCTTTTAGACCTACCATGTCTAGCTCTTTGTTGAGAAGAGGCCTCCCAAACTTTTCTGAACAGGCTGGCCTTGAACTTCAATACTACCAATTTCTACCTCCCAGGTAGCTAGGATTACAGGTGTGACCAACTGGTACCCAACTTACAACAAACCTTTGGATCCACTAATCATGTTCCAAACATAATATTGTAATTTTGTCAGGTAATACATTAAATGTGTGAAATAATTTAGGGGAGCACTGACTCCTTTTAGTATTTTTTCCCTTAGAAAAATGAATCTTTTTAATCTAATCTTTTGTACTTCAATGAGGTATTAGTAAATATGTTAATACATTTGAAGTGGCTTAATGTTTATATAGCAAAATATTTTTGAAAAAAATTGTCATGTCATACTGTACATATACATGCATATGCATTTATATTGTATTTTATGTTTTGCTTTCTCTTAGGAGAACCATACAGACTTTTGACTGGTGTTGAGTACATTGTTGGAAGGAAAAACTGTGCTATTCTAATTGAAGATGATCAGTCAATCAGTCGAAATCATGCTGTGTTAACAGCTAACTTCTCTGTAACCAACTTGGTATGTGTTACTAATTTTACTAGCTTATAATGAGGGGATTGAAATCAAATAAGTTCACTTTCGTATGTGAGAAAGTTCATAGGATCTTTTATTTTATGAAGATGCTTAGTTTCTTTTTTTAATGTTAACAAAATTAAACTCTTATAAGGTACTGGGAGTGTGGCTCAGTAGTAGATCACTTGCTTATTGTACCTGAAATCACCAGCACCCACAGAACAATAAAGCAAAACAAAAAAGAATTAATAACAAAACTCACACATAATTGGCAGTGGACTAGTAGTTAACTTATTTTAAATTTGAAGTTTCTGTTTTAGTATTTCATTCTTAGCAATTTAGAAACTCAGGAAGTGGGCATATATTTATATAATGAACATTTTGTGTTAATTATGTGCACCTATAATGGAATACCTAAGATAAACAGCTTAAAGGAGGAAATATTTATTTTGGTTCACAAATTCAGTCCATGATTACTTTGCTGGATTAAGTTTGGCCTGTGGAGGCACAATATATCATAGCAGGAACACTTGGAGCAGGAGGCTGCTTACCTCAAAGCAGCTAGAGAGCATACAGAGAAAGGAAGGGACCCAGATCTCTGAATCAAGGGCACAACCCCAATGACCTAACTTTCTTCCACTAGTCCCTACCACTTGGGTTTCATGACCTTCTAATACCACCACAGGCTGACCACTTAACCTTTGACACATGGATGTTTGAGGGAAACTTCAGATCCAGGCTACAGTACAATTATTGAGTGATAAATGTATGTCATTTCATTGTGCCAGATCTGGAAAAGGAGCAGTGGCTGGACTTACATGACTCTCACTCGAAAGAGTTATGTAGCTGTATGATCATAAGCATTTCCAATACCACACAAGTTTTGCAGTGAGAATTACTATATTAGGAAAAATGACTTGTACTATTATTATATCTACTGTGTGATATAAAAGTGATAAATCATGTATTTGTGCTCTTTATACATTGTTAGCTTTTATAATAATAATTGGAATTCCTGCCAAAAATAAAGTTTATTACTGTAACCCAGAAGTTCTACCTTTTAATTCCATACTCTCATTACACCAATTTTTAACTATTTGATTTTGATAATGTAAAAATAATTTTTCCAGCAGAATGAAACTGATGTATTTATATATGGAACTGTACCAAAGCTCTCAAATTCCGAATTTGAGAGGCCAAGAAAAATCCTACTAGCTTAGAAAATGTGTATTCTAAAAGGGGTAATCCTCACTAATTAAGAAAGTATCTTTAGGGACTATTAATTGCAAGTTGAATGTTCTTTTCCTGAGGGCAACTAAAGCAGTGGCAATCCTGTACCTTTTTGTTTTTTTTTTGCCTATACAGAAAGTTGTTCATTTGAAATGTTTTCCTTTTTAAATAATTTGTTGATTTTTTTCAGAGTCAAACAGATGATATTCCTGTATTAACAATAAAAGATAATTCTAAATATGGCACATTTGTTAATGAGGAAAAAATGCAGAATGGCCTTTCCCAAACACTAAAAACAGGAGATAGAGTTACCTTTGGAGTGTTCGAAAGTAAATTCAGGTAAGAAGATTTTTTGTGTATATATATTTTTTAAATGAATGATACTGGGGAGTGAACCCAGGGTTTTGTACTTGCTAGGGTATGAAGTTATTATATCATTATTAAAATGGAAAGCTTTATTCAACAGTCAAATTAGCCACGGAAAGAATATTTATGAACAATAAGCTGAAAGCAATATAATTTAGTTGCTCCTTAGCACAGAAGGAACCTTGAGCCTAAATATACTTAGTACATTTGTGGCTTACAGTGATAAGAGGAAAGTTTGTATGGACCCTGAATTTTAATGAGAGTTCATTTGCTGATTCCTCATATATGAAAGTATAATGTTAATTTTTGCCACTGCTTGTTCTTCATTAGAACTAAAGACTTGGGAAATGATTATTTCATAGGTTAGAAAGGTTAACAATAGACATACAAATTAAGATTCACTATGTGGTATGAACTAAAAGTTGTCATCTGTATAGCTACAACAATATAACTTTATGTATATAACTTATTTTCATTTACAGAGTAGAGTATGAGCCTTTGGTTGTATGCTCTTCTTGTTTAGATATCTCTGGGAAGACAGCTTTAAATCGAGCTGTTTTGCAACTTGGAGGACTTACTATAAACAACTGGACAGAAGAATGTACTCACCTTGTCATGGTATCAGTTAAAGTTACCATTAAAGTAAGTTGAATGTCTTTTTATGTTAAAAGAAATTCTGTAAACTTAAGCTTGCTCATGTACTACACAAACTTGAAAATTTTTATTGTGAAACTGAGAAGTATTAGTTACAGATTTACTTATATCTATCCTTTGCCTTTATTTTAGGCTCAAGTGAGTTTTCAGATAATCTGTTTATTGTCTGTGACAAGCAGAAACACATAAAATTAGATTTCAAGGTTTGGTTAGACATTTTCAAAAAAAGATGTATTTTATCCTTTTTACCATAACATGCATAATTTACATCTCAGTCCAAAGCAAGGAGACTAGAGATTAACTCTCAGTCTTCAAAGTTAACTTCCCATGTCATTTCTATCAAGTTGTCTTCCTCTAGTTACTGATAGCATTTCAAGATTTCATGCTCTCTTCTTTAAACCCCCAGTCTCAAAGATCTTAAAGTTCTTTTTTTTTTTGGGGGGGGGTGTCTGGTTGTGGGCCCCAACTCTGGGCCTGGGCGCTGTCCCTCAGCTCTTCAGCTCAAGGCTAATGCTCTACCACTTGAGCCACAGCGCCACTTCCAGCTTTTTTCTTTTTGCTTATGTGGTGCTGAGGAATCGAACCCAGGGCCTCATGCATGCAAGGCAAGTGCTCTACCACTGAGCCACCTTCCCAGCCCTTAAAGTTCTTACAGTTTAATATTACCTTAACGAATCTTCAAAACCTAGATATGTATAGATCTGTTCCTATAGAAGATGCTGATTATGTATTAAAAATGGTGACACAGCCAAGTTCCAGTGGCTCACCCCTTGGATCCTAGTTACTCAGGGGTCTGAGATCCAGAGATGATCAAGGTTTGAAGCCAGCCTGGGCAGAAAAGTCTGTAAAGCTCCATCTCCAAAATCAGCAACAAAAATCCCTGATGGTTGTATGGCTCAAGTGATAGAATCCCACTAAAGCTAGGGCTAGGCCATGAGTTCAAATATTTTGGTGGCATGTATTTCATCAACAGTTTGACTATAGATATATGGGATTGTTGCGGAGTAATGGTCATAGAGAGATGATCCAAACACCCTTTAGCATTTAATATCCTTTAGCATTTAATATAATGAAATTAGAATGTATGTAATTTGAGGCGGTGTCATAGAGAAAAGCTTACTGCTTGGATGGACGTTCAAGTTAAACTTGTATCACACTGGAGTCATCTTTGATCAAGAATGTTTTCATCTTTGCAACTTTATGATACTGATTTTTACATTTTCTATATAATTATCCTCCATAATACTAAATACTGGCAAACTCACAGCTAGTAAATTCACACATCGAAATGTGAAAAACATCAGGATTTATTTGCAGGCTTTTTCAATATTTTTCAATGTTTTCTAACTTTTTCAGTATTTCTTATCAATCATATGCCCAAAATGAAGCCATGTTGTTATATTGTTTTTTCATAAGTTTTCCAAAATTACCAGAGACGTTAGGATTTTTAAATCTTTTGAGGCCAGGTGCCAGTGGCTCATGCCTATAATCCTAGCTACTCAGGAAGCTGAGATCTGAGGATTTGATTCAAAGCCAGCCAGGCAGAAGTTCCCGTGAGCCTCTTTTTTTTTTTTTTATTGGGAGAATACCGTACAGAGGAGTTAAAATTACATGGGCAAGATAACAAGTACATTTCTTATCAAGCATTGTTGCCTCCTCTTTGTTTCCCCTTCCTATCCCTTCCCATACACCCCCCCCTCCCCCCACCTAATCCTCCCCCCACCCCCCACCAAAGTTGTAAAGTTCGTTTTTCCACATGACGACTTGTACATCTCATTGTTTCAGTGAGTCCACCTGTATCCCTAGTTAAACGATTTGTTTTTTCTCTTCCCCTCCACAAATTATACCAACATCAATTACAGTGAAAGCATGGGTTATACCGTGGGGGAGGGACATACAAAGCAACAAAGAAATCATCTTATAAATATGTTAGGAACAGTTGCATGAAAGGAAAAAAAAAACAAAAACATTTGAATACTTATCTTGTGGTATATATACACAATGGAATTCTATGCCTCCATCAGAAAGAATGACATTGCCCCATTTGTTAGGAAATGGAAAGACTTGGAAAAATTATATTAAGTGAAGTAAGTCAGGCCCAAAGAAATATAGGTCCCATGGTTTCCCTTATTTGAGATAACTAGTATATGTCGGAGTCAAGTAGAAAAGGTCAGATAAGTTGATGTTAGGGGAATGAACCCGTGAGACTCTTATATCCTATTAACCACTCAAAAGCCAGAGGTGGTACTATGGCTCAAGATCGCTAACCCTGAGCTTAGGAACAGTACCCAGACCCTGAGTTCAAGCCCCACAACTGACAAAAAAAAAAATCTTTGAATGGTAGCATTTATAGGAACAAAATGAGAAATGGGAGAGTGAAATGATTTTCACAGTTGCATATATTCTTGCTGATACAGTCCACTGTGGAATTGCATATTACTGCTTTATGCTTGAAATTCAGCCTTTCATACCTGCTCTTGAGGTACTTCCTAAATCCACTTTCTGCATTTAAATATTTAAAACATAAACTCTAGATGGGTATTTCCAAGAATTATGCCAGGTCTTTGCTTTCATTTTATTTTTGTTACATTTTCGAATCTTTTCAGATTTTCTCATTTGAAGCTCAAAGATTATTTGAATATTAGTGTCTTTTCCTACTTCATCTACATTACTCATTTTGAGCTTATTTATTTCTTTTCTTTTTGTTGTTGTTTTTGTTTTTTTTTTTTTTATTGTGAAAATACCATACAGAGGGGTTACAATTACATGGGCAAGTTATCTTCAACAGTGCTTGAGCTTTTTTAAAATCAAACCCAAACAACTTTTTTTTCTTTTTGATCTTGGGGCTTGAACTCTCTGCCTGGGCGCTGTCCCTCAGCAATCCAGCTCAAGGCTAGCACTCTACCACTTGAGCCACAGCACCACTTCCAGTTTTCTGAGTGGTTTATTGGAGATAAGAGTCTCACGGATTTTCGATTTTCCTGCCGGGCTTCTTTGAACTACAGTGTCATTTCTGGCTTTTTTCTGCTTATGTGGTGCTGAGAAATCAAACCCAGGGCCTCATGCGTGAGAGGCAAGCACTCTACCACTGAGCCACCTTTCCAGCCCTTTTTTGTTTGTTTTTGTTTTTTTTTACCATTTCCATTCTGTGGCTGGTTACAGACTGTAGCTCCTGATTTCTTTTTTTTTGTTGTTGTTGGTCAGGGGGCTTGAATGCTGGGCCTGGGCTCTGTCTCTCAGCTCTTTAGCTCAAGGTAAGCACTCTACCACTTGAGCCACAAAACAATTTCTGGTTTTTTGGTGGTTTATTGGAGACAGTTCCAGCCCAGGCTGGCTTTGAACCATGATCCTCAGATCTCAGCCTCCTGAGTAGCTAGGATTATAGATGTGAGCCACCAGCATCCGGCTGTGTTATTTCTTAATTTTCTCTAGAGCAGATATATTTCAAATTATGTTCCTCAGTGTCATGAAAAAATTTAAATATTTAATGTTGCTACATTAGAAATGCAGTTTTAAATTGATTTATATTTTTAGAAATTGATTTATATTCTATAAAAAGCATTTTTTAAGTTGATATGACGATGAATTCTTAAACTTTTGTTTATATAGTGATTTGTGTTTTATAACTAAGAAGTAACCAAGTGTTCACTCCTATTTATAGATTATACTTACGTCTATGAAAGGAAACACTGTAGACTAGCATTTTTTTTTTTTTTTTTGGGTCCGGTAGTGGGTCTGAACTCTGGGCCTGGGCGCTGTCCCTCAGCTCTTCAGCTCAAGGCTAGCGCTCTACCACTTGAGCCACAGCGCCACTTCTGGTTTTTTTTCTTTTTGCTTATGTGGTGCTGAGGAATCGAACCCAGGGCCTTGGGCACGCAAGGCAAGTGCTCTACCACTGAGCCACCTTCCCAGCCTAGACTAGCATTTTTGTAGTTGGTTCTTTGGAGATACTGAAGTTTGAACTTGGCATTTTGTCTGTTACACAGGCATTCTGTCACTTAGTCATGTCCGTAGCCTTTTTATATATAACTTAAAATTTTCTTTAAAACTTTATAGTGTACATGGATTAACATGCTTTCTTCTTTTTTAGACAATATGTGCACTTATTTGTGGATGTCCAATTGTGAAGCCAGAATATTTTACTGAATTTATCAAAGCAATTCAGTCCAAGAAACAGCCTCCGCAAATTGAAAGGTATGTGTTTCAAATATGATGTAACAAGAGAAGACATATAGGATCAGTAGCATTGGTTTTACTTAGATTGCTCTTTTTTTTTTTTTTTGCCAGTCCTGGGCCCTGAACTCTGTTCATTCTAGTTCATCATGGTTAATGGCAGATTTTGTTAACATGTAAAGAAAAGATTTCCCAAATTCCTTGTTGTTGCATATTTCTTTTTTCTTTTTCTTTCTTTTTTTTTTTTTTTTTTTTTTTTTTGTTGGTCATGGGGTTTGAACTCTGGTCCTGGGCACTGTCCCTCAGCTCAAGGCGAGTACTCTACCACTTCAGCCACAGCACCACTTCTGGTTTTCTGATGGTTTATTGGAGATAAAAAGAGTCTCACAGACTTTCCTTCCCGATTTAGCTTTGAACCACAATCCTCAGATCTCAGTCTCCTTGGTAGCTAGTACTACAGGCCTGAACCACTGACACCCAGCTGTTGAGTATTTCTTATTCCCATGAAACAAATGTTAAATAGTTGCTGATATTTAATGTAAAACCTTGAAGGACAAAAAAAGGGCCTTAATGGTCATATTAACACATCTTGCAACTGCCAGATCTCATTCAGGTGGAACCCCTAAAATTGTGTAATAGGTCAACCCTTCTAAGCCAGTTGTAGCTTAGGGTATAGAGCTTGTTTCTTCTAAGCTTCAGTTACCTCATTTCAAAAATGCAGCTAAGTTAGGTGTTGTAGATACACCTATAATCTCAGCAGTTGGGAAGCTAAGGTAGAAAAATCTGGAGTTCAAGGACAGCTTGGGCTACGGAAGACTGCCTTTAGGAAAATGGCTAATGTACTCATTATCTGACTTAGGTAACTAACCCCTCTCTATATCACCTTTATAATAGCAGTTAAAAAATTGCAACAAAAAAAAAAACCCACAACGAGACTAATAATTGTCATGGTGTATAAGATAACTCACAATAGCTTTATTTTATGTTTTTTAATTTGTCAAATTTAGAAGCTCTACATTTATATTCTGTTGGTAAGAGTTTGCAGCAGTATAAAGTAGTTGAAAAAGAAGATATTTGACTTCTTTTTTCAAATTGTCTGGTGAATTCTGAGGAGCTTGGTGATTATTTTTCATTAACTTAATTACAAAGGAACTTCCTTAAATACATGGCAGTGGAAAAAGAAAAAGAGACAGGATGGTGGAAAGGAGTGAGGGAGGGCAGTGCCAGGCACTAATGGCTCATGCCTGTAATCCTAGTTACTCAGAAGACAGGATCGTGTTTTGAAGCCAGTACAGATAGCAAAGTCCATGAGACTCTTACTCTCCAAATAACAAAAAATCAGAAGTAAAACTGTGGTTTGAGTAGTAGAGTACAGAGCACAGGCTCCAAGTTCAAGCCTCAGGAATAGCACAAAATTTTTTAAAAAAGAAAAAAAAAGCATGGCAGTGGATTATATTTTATACGGTACCATATCTGGCTTGTATTTGTAGGAGATTTGAAAAATTAAATGTTTTACAAGTAAGGATTTTTTTTTTGGTTAGTCATGGGGCTTGAACTCGAGCTTGGGTGCTGTTCCTGTGCTCTGCAGCTCAAGGCTAGTGCTCTACCGCTTGTGCCACAGCACCACTTCCGGTTTTCTAGTGGTTTATTGGAGATACGAGTCTCACGGACTTTCGTGCCCGGGCTGGCTTTGAACCAAGATCCTCAGATCTCAGCCTCCTGAGTAGCTAAGATTACAGGAGTGAGCCACTGGCACCCGGCACAAGTAAGGATTTTATTATTGATTTTAATCTCTTGTTAACAGACAGAAGTCATTGTGCTCAGCATACCAATTCTGTTCTAGGAACTATTTTATAATAGATGTTTGCTTTTAATATTAGCCAAAAAGTAGATTTTTCTCTTTCTTTGTAACTTTTACCTAGAAGCTTTCTGGGGTTCATTAACGTAGTGAACAGATAATGAGATATTGCTGGACTCTGATAAAATATTCTCAGATTTTGAAACAAAGTCCTAGAACCTTATAAGATTAGGAAGGCACTGGTATCTCCCCAGGAAACATCACTTAAATACTACAGAAATACTTAGTATTTCAAACATAATCATTCTTTCCAAAGCCTATTCATCAACCTCACTGGGGGTATCAGTAAATACAGTAAATAATAATCTTGGCTACAGATAATGAGGATCTAAGTTTCCAGCTACTGGTGATAGGTTTTGTGGTCTTGCAGTTTTTTTTAATTAGCTACTGATTCCTCCTGTTATTCAGGTTTTCAGGTCTATTTAACTTGAGCCAACTTCTGATTTCTGACTACTAACATACATGATTGCCTGTAGCTTATGCCTGTAATTTTAGTTATGCAGGAGACTGAGATCTAGGTGATCATAGTTAAAGTCCAGCCCATGCAGAAAAGTCCACGAGACTCTGGCTTGAAAATGACCAGGAAAAATCAAGAGTGGCGATATGGCTCACATGCTAGAGCACCAATTGAACAAGTCAGCTAAGGAAGAACATGAGCCCCTAAATTCATACACCATTAGTGCCAAAAATACATGACTGGAATTAAACATCTCTAGTAATGTTGAACACTGTTAGCCAGAAAAACCTATTTCTTTATCTTATATTTGATGATAGCAATTAATAGTCAATTTTCAGTATTACTTTAAGAGCCAGGTGTGGTGATAACTGCAGTTGGGGGCCTGAGGCAGGAGGATCACAAGTTGGAGGTTAAAGTGATACATGTAATCCTAGCTTAATTGGGAGACTGAGAAGAGAAGGATTGAGGACTGAGGCCAGTCTGGGCAGAACAGTTTGAGACTGTCTCCATAGAAAGGATTCTGGATAATGGTCCTCCTCTGTGATCCCAGAAACATAGAAAGCCTAAAAGTAGGCCACACAGGAGGTGATAAAGAAGTTCTACCCTAAAAATAACCAGTGGAAATAGGATGGAAGGAATGGCTCAATGATATTATGCCTGGCTAGCAGGCATATATCCCTGAGTTCATGCCTTAGTACTGCCTTAAAAAAATTAACTAGTAGGAATGAGTTACAAAACACATACCAAATAATTTGTAATGATGTGATTACTTAACTATCTCTTCTTTTAGTTATAAAGCATACTCACTAGTTCCAGATTTAAATTACAAGACTAGTATAAAGTTTTTACCCAATAAACAGTGTCATCCTATTTAATTCATCTTTGCATTGTCATCATAAAACAGGGTAAGAGTCACCACTGTATAGACCTGACATGATATGTGATAGCTTACTTTTTATAAACCATCCTCAACTTCTTTTTAAAAGACAGTTGGTCTTCTGTATTCTTAATAAGGGAAGTTTATTGTATAAAATATAAGGAAATGTTCCCTTCAAAAAGAGAGGAAGTTGTTTTTTAGTGTTTACAAAGTTTGTGTACTCCAGGGTGTTCTTTTTCTAACTTTCTAATTTAGTTTTAGCATACATTTTTAATATGGGGGGGGTTCTATCATGATAGTTCCATATATGCACACAGTAAACTTTCAGGTTTACCACCTTGATTATTTCCAACAACTATTCGGAAGAGTCTGCTGGGAGAGTTCTCCATAGATCTCTTGGATTCGTACACAATGAAGAATACAGGGCTCTCAAAACAGGCCATTTGTCTGAGCTATATTTGCTGGGAGAAGTCTTGAGAAGTGAAGTAGAGTCTTATAACACATAAAATCTGATAGATTCACAAGATCAGCACTCCTTACTCGTGTTATACAGACCATTGCATACTATATTGTCCTCATGGAACTTGGTTGATAGCCAACCAGCCATAAATAGCTTTCCAATCTTAGATTTGATTTGTGTATTCTTTTTCTGTGCCACAAGATGTATTACCCATTACCATATTTCTAGGAAAGGCATTTATATTTTTTGTATCATTTTTGACCCAGATAAAACTCTTAAATGGTATTATGAAAACTAAATCTTCATTCCATTTAAAACTTTAACAGTAAACATACAGAATAGTATGTAATTTGAGTATATCTTATTTTTTCAGTTTTTATCCACCTATTGATGAACCATCTATTGGAAATAAGAATATTGATCTATCAAGACGACAGGAAAGAAAGCATATCTTCCAGGGAAAAACATTTGTATTTTTAAATGACAAACAGGTAAAGGTATAAGCTTAATTTTCTGGTGAAAAACATAATAAGCTTATATACATTATTAGTCTTACCAATACTTTCTGCATTTCATTTGTGTAGCTAAATCCAGAAGAAGAAAAATGTCTCTCTGTACCAGAACTTGCCTAATGTTATGTATATGATTGTAGTCTTTCCTAATATGGGTTACTTAGTCTGATAATTAAATTTCTATCAGTACATAATTGGCAGGCTAAAAAAACCTTTAAGTCTGAACTTGTTCAGTATGTAAACCTTTGTAAAATGCTATCTGTGTGTGTAGGTGGTGAGGATTCCAAGAGCTTATGTTACAGTGGAGAAATCCTGTGGGTTAGCCCATTAGAGGACCGGAAGGTGAAGGGGGATGAGAAAATAGAAACTTTTATCAGAGTGGAAGTTCAAATTGTTCACTCGAATGTAAAATCTGTGTCTATTGTAATTCCTGCATTGAATTTTCACATAGCAAGTATCTGTGCAGAAAACTCATTGTGACTTTTACATTAGTTTTCTAAATATTTCTTTCATCTTTAGCATAAGAAGTTAAGTTCAGCAGTTGTTTTTGGTGGCGGTGAAGCAAGATTGATCATGGAAGAAAATGAAGAAGAAGATAGTTTCTTTTCAGCTCCAGGAACCTGTGTTGTTGATACTAGAGTAACAAATACACAGATCTTAATTCCTGACTCTCAGAAAAAATGGATTCATTCGATTGTAGACATGCTCCAAAGGTACAAAGTCATTGTTTAATAGTAAAATATAACACTAGTAGATATTTATGTGCAACTTCTTTGGTTGTATTTCACTTAGTATACAGATAGATTAAAAAAATCTTTGGTTGTATTTCACTTAATATAAAGATAGATTGATATATATAACAATTATATCATGCAGTATACTTGTGAACTGTTTGTGACTTGGATTGGATACTAGATAATGGACTATCTTAAAGCTTAACATTTTCTTCATTTTTGTTACTTTAGTAGAATTTATAGAATTTTCTTCTCCAAATTAGTGAAATGGCATGATGTTTTTCTGCAGAGTATGTTGCAATTGAGGTTAAAATTCAAAACCCAAAACATTTTCTGAAATATCTGCCTAGAGCTGAAATATCTGTTTGGTCTTTATTGTTACTCACTAAAAATGCATGTAAAAAATTCAGTCACTGTTACATGGGTTGCTCTAAGAAAGTTGGAAGATACTCTTTGGGGGTCAAGGGAAGACTGTAACAGAATTACATCAATGACTTGTTTTTTTAGATTCTTTACTGACATTAATCTTAGCATGGTTAAAGTCAAAATGTATTATAGAAATACCCGAAGTACTCTTTACTAAATTTCTATTAACCCAGCAGAGTATTTGAAATCTAGAGTATTATAGCTGAAAATCCATAGCCTGCTCAGTATATTTTTTTGTCTCCCAAGGATTCCAAGGGATCCTCAGGGATCCCCCCCACCCTCAAAAAGGAAAAAAAATTGTCATTTGTAGTATGAATATTTTATTTAATGAAAATGTATTAACTAAAAAAGTACTTTTGTAGCAAAATTACCACCTTATTACAATAACAAAAATGAATGTGCCATCCCAGAATCTCGGATTAATTGTAAGGGTTCTTACTATTAAACTTAGTTGTTATTTCTTTATCATCTCCTCACCCTTTTGCCAGCCTTGTGTTGACCCTCATGACTCACAATATACTATCATCATTGAATGACACACATTTATTTTGTTTACAGGTTAGTTTTTATTTGTTTTTTGTGGAACTCAAACTTTGTACTTTAAGCAGACACTATATCACTTAAGCTGTGTCTCTAGGGCTTCTTGCTCTGGTGGGTTTTTTAAATTTTTATTTTATTGTAAAGATGCTGTACAGAGGGGTTGCAGTTACATGAGTAAGGTAATGAATACATTTCTTGTTGAAAATTGTTGCTCCCTCCTTTGTTTTTCTCTACTATCCCTTTTCTCCTCCCCCCCTCACCCCGCCCAAGAAGTTGTAAAGTTCATTTCCAACATAGTATCTTGTGAGTAGCATTATTGCAATGGGTCATCCTGTGTCCTTGTTTCAGCATTTTGTTATTCCCATTTCCCTCCCCCAATCTCTGGTTTTTTTGAGATAGGGTCTTGCTTTTGTGTCAGCCAGCCTAGACTCCTAATACATATGTTTCCCTTTAGCATATTTCTAGGACTAGAACTATGGGATTATAGGTTATATGAATGTTCAGCTTTAGAAGGCAATATCAGACTGCGTGCTGTTTTACATTCCTGTCAGTATGCATGGGCCAAGCAGATGGGCATGGTCACATGTTTTGTCATCTGCCACTTGAGTGGCTATTTCATCATATCTCACTGCGGTTTTGCATTTCCTTGATCATCAGATATACTAAACACTTCATCACATGTTTGTCATATATTCTTTTGTGAAATATCTGCCATGTTTCTTGCCCAGGTTTCTATTGAGATAATTGTCACATAACTTTTTTTTTTTTTTATCTGTCATGGGGACTGAACTCTGGGCCTGGATGCTGTCCCTCAGCTCTTCAGCTCAAGACGAGCACTCTACCACAGCACCACTTCTGGCTTTTTCTGCTTATGTGGTGCTGAGGAATCTAACCCAGGGCCTCATGCATGCAAGACAAGCACTCTAACACTGAGCCACCTTCCCAGCCCATAGGGCTTCATCTTTTTACTAGGCAAATGCTCTACCACAGAACTTTACCCCAATGTACTTACCTACACAGACTTCCTTGATATTACTTATACCCAGTTGTATTTCTATTATTTTTCTGTTTTAATTTTGATATATGTATTTGGTTCTCTGTAATTTCATACATTTATGTAGTCAACATACAGATGTTCAGAACTTTCATCACCAAAAAGATCCTTCATGTTACCCTTTATAACCATATCCACTCCTTTTCCTGCCTTTTCTATTCTGTGTTTCCTGTCCCTAAATCCTCGTATCTACTAACTTGTTCTGTTTCTAAAATGTTTTTTCTTTTAATACTACATAAATGAAATCCTACCGCATATAACCTTTTGGTATTAGCTTTTTTCACTTGGCAGAATTCCTCAGATTTACCTATGTTGTATGTGTCAATCAATATTTTTTGTTGCTGAGTAGAATTCCATGTTGTAAATTTATACATTGGCATTTTTTACTTTTTTTTGTTAGAAATAAAAGTGCTATGAACATTCACTGTTTAGTTTATATGTTGACACAAGTTTTTCTGGATAAATGCCCAAGGGTAAAATTGCCAGGCAATTACATTTTTTTTTGGGGGGGGGGGTCCGGTCGTGGGGCCTGGGTGCTGTCCCTCAGCTCAAGGCTAGAGCTCTACCACTTGAGCTACAGCGCCACTTCTGGCTTTTTTCTTTTTGCTTATGTGGTGCTGAGGAATCGAACCCAGGGCCTCATGCATGCAAGGCAAGCGCTCTACCACTTAGCCACCTTCCCAGCCCCCAATTACATATTTTTTGTATTTTCTTGATGTTAATCTATTTTTTTCACTTAGATGCATTACAAAATCTATAAGTCATATAACTTACCTTTTTAGTGTGTTGAAAAGTGAAAGCCCTTAATTTTAGTATAGTAAACATTAATATCCTTTAAATTAACATTATTTTGTTTTATAGTCAAGTGTCTTTTGTGTTTTAGAAGCTCTTTTCCAAACCCTTTATATGATAATATATGCTAAAAAATGATTTCCAAACCACAGGCCAAAAACATATCCATATGTATTTTCTACCGATTTTTTACTAATATTTTGATATTTGAATTTAAAGTTCACTTGTATGTGAGACTATATCATGCCAAAGTTCATACATGTGTGGCTTGTTTTAGTTTTATTCTATTCTATAAATCAGTCTATCTTATGGTTCCTAGCACATTTACCACATTGTCTTAATTAACTTTTAAAAAGTCTTCATAACTAGTAGGATAGGCCTCTTTCTGTTTACCTTAGAATAATCTTGGTTATTTTTCAAAAATAATCATCTTTTTGGAAATTTGTTGGGATTTTTACTAAGAATTCCATTGAATTACCTTGAGGAAAATGAATGATTTTAACCGTTTCTAGCCTCAGTATGAATCTCTCCATTTATATAGGTCTGTTTTGTTGTCTTATCAGTCTATTACTGCTATTTTCTAAATATTGCAGAATGTTAGAACTGGAAAAATCTGTATTGTTAATTTTAGCCCTCTTATTATATAAAGTTAACTGAGTTACTGAGAGGTGGTGGACTTGCCTGAGTAACATTGCCTTAGTGAGTGATTTGAAATAGCACTATCTGTATTTTAAATTCTGCCCATATTATAAAATGTCATTTGGGGCTGGGGGTTTAGCCCAGCGGAAAGGCACTGCCCGGCACACACAAGGCCCTGGGTTGGGTCCTCAGCCCTGGAAAAAAAAAAAAGCTACAAAATATCATTTTGTATAATTTTGAAGGAAAAAATAGGTTGGTTCACCTTGGTCACTTTAATAAAAGTTCTTTTAGTATATAATATGTTATTTAAACTTTTATTCTAATAGACAGGGTCTCAGACCCATTCCTGAAGCAGAAATTGGATTGGCAGTTATTTTCATGACTACTAAGGGTTACTGTGATCCTCAGGGCCAACCCAGTACAGGTAATAAAACATTATTTATGTTGATTCTCCGGCAACTTTGTTTATTTGCACTGATGATAGATTGTATATACTTTACTTGCCAGGCCTGACCATAACTATCTTCTTTTAAAACTCAGCTGTTTATTCATTAATTTACTAATTCAAAAATACTTCTGCCATGTATGGAACACTATGGTAGGCATTGAAGATTTAGTAATGAGTAAACAGGATCCTTATTTTTACACTTTGTAAAATGTATATTCTGGAAGTCAAGATGCAGGCACTGAACAAGTGGACAAATATACTTAAGTTCATATAGGGCCAAGTACAAAAAGAAAGGCTAAACAAGGTGATGAGCAGTTCATAGTATAACTTCTTACACATATGTATAGGTAAATTATGTGGGTTCCAAGTCATGGAAGTTGGTTTTATGAGACAGTTTTATGAAAACAGTGAATATATGTCTCTTTCTTGTCTTCCCTGCCCCTCTTTTCACTGTTCTTTTCATATTCATGCATTCATCCATTTATTCAATATTTAGTTATTCAATAAGTATTTGTTGATCAGTCATTAAATACTTGTAATCATGCTGAACAACTAGGAGTAATGAGGTGAGCAAATCAGACTGAATTCTTGTGCTTATAGTATTTGTATTGAGGAGAACATCGTCTTTGGTCAACAAACAGTTATTCTGGGTCATTAGGTTGATAAATGCTTTTTTCGGTGACTACATAATGTTATCTCTGCAAACTTCTGTGATAGTACAATGAAGTTTTAGAGATACTTAAGGAAATAATGTGAACCTTTGAGTAAGTCATATGGGAATGTGGCAAAAGGCAAATATCTGATTTTGGAGTCAATAATAAACATTTACTGAGGACCTTTTATATTATTAGGCCATAACATGATAAATTAAGTTATAGGTACTTAGTAAATGTCAACTTTATGGTTTTTTTTTTTTTGGGTACGGTCATGAGGCCTGAACTCTGGGCCTGGGTGCTGACCCTCAGCTCTTCAGCTCAAGGTTAGCGCTCTACCGCTTGAGCAACAGCGCCACTTCCAGCTTTTTCTTTTTATGTGGTGCTGAGGAATCAAACCCAGGGCCTCATGCATGCAAGGCAAGCACTCTACCACTGAGCCACCTTCCCAGCCCTATGGTTTGTTTTTTTTTAGCTGAGAGTTTACTCTGGATCTGTATTTTTTGATTATTAAATAATGCTGTGCACTGGAGATACAGAAAAAAAGGAAGACCTATTTTGTAGATACTAAGGAAAGGTAGCAAATAAATGATGAATGTTAACTACCAACACTGACTCAGTGATTACTGCACCACAGGTAATGTCTAACTTAGACATATATCAGTTTATTTTGTCCACAAAATGCCTTTTTGAGGATTGTGTTTTAATTGGTGTCACTTTGTATATGGTAAAATTAAAGCATAAAGAGGTTAAATCACTCGTGCCACACAAGTAGTGACAAATAAATCATTAGTCAGGTGATGTGCAGGGGAGTGTGAAAGAAGAAACAAGGAGCACTTAATTCAACAGGGAAGTCTCAAAAGCAAGCATTCCCAACCAGTACTAGTGGTCTTTGAACTGGTTGCTATTTTAGTAAACAAATAGAAAAGACATGTCTTTATAGAAGATGTAAAATGGTATTACGTGTCTTCCAGATAATAGGATATAAATTCTCACATACTTTCCATTTGGAGAGTAAATATAATTTTTTAGTCTGACATTCAATATCATTTTAGGCATAATTTAAATTGGACTCACTTAGGTTGATAATATTTCATAGAATTTGGTATACTTTAAAATCATGTGGTTTAGGTTAAGTGCATCATAGATGTCAATAGTTGTTAGTATGGATAATTTCCTCAAAGTATTTCCTAGCTTCACTGACTAGAAACAACCATGTGCTACATCATCTAATTAAGCACCTCATTTTTAATAATCAATCTCAATCTTGTATGTCATGGTTATGATTTTTTTTCTTTTCGTTTGTATGATTTACAGAATTAAAGACAACGCCAGGGCCAAGCCTTTCTCAAGACTTGTCAGCCAGTGAAAAAATAATTCCAAGTGCTCCTGTGAATGGTACATTGATCATGAATGGCTCAGAATCAGAGCAACTAGATGCTTGGTAAAAGCTTCTTGTTTAACAAACTCATGTCACTTTTGCAGTAACAGATAAAAAGTTTGTTCAAGAAGTAAAGTTGGTACTTTTATAAAGTTGTCTCTGAGGAGATAAAACATGGGAGAATAAAATCCAGAAAAAATGAACCTTAAGACTGAGATCAGCAAAATTTTTTATAAAGAATTGGCAAGTAAACTTTATTTACAAAACCAAATGGACTTGATTTGGCCTGTGGTCTATAGTTTAGTGCCTTGAGTTTTTTCATACCTTGCAAAGGTGCATGGAAACTAAAAAGAATTCTAGTATTTCAATTGTGATTATTGAGATAAAGTTGGAAATAGTTGTATCCACTTATCAATAGCTTTGATTTATGTAGTTTTAGTTACCTGTAAACTGTAGTACAATATCGAGGAGGAAAAATTCCTGAAAGAAGCAATTTCTAAGTTCTAAATTGTGCTGAGCAGTGTGATGAAATCTCTTAATGCGCAGCCTAAGATGAAAATCATCCCTTTGTTCTGTGTGTCTGTTGTAGTATTTGTGTCCAAGTGATCTTTACGTAGTCACCTGACACTGCAACATAATGCCTGCACTGTTCATCTCATTGCCTATCAGCACATACATATTGTTACATCTCATTTTATTAAAAAAGGATGAGTACAACTTAATATTTTGAAAGAGACTACATTTTCATAATTTTTTACTATAGTCTTTTTTATAAATGTTTATTACTAGTTTCTGTTGCTTATTTCTTAGGTGCCTAATTTGTAAATTAAGCTATCATAACTATGAGCAGTAAAAATGTATATATAGTGTTCAATATGCCATTGGCCCTAACCATCCATTGGGAGTCTTATAGAATGGTCCTCCACAGATAAGGGGGACTATTATAAACGTGTTTATCTTATATAAATATGCCTTTTGTTTAAGTAATATGCTATTTGTCTGTATAAATATGCCTTAGAATTTTGAAAAAACTTAACAGGATAAAGCTAGTTATTTAGTTCATATTTATTCATGAAGACAGGTTTTTAGTGGTTATTTGAAGAATGATTCTGGGTTGTTTTGTTTCTTAATTGAAAAGAGTTAGCTCTTCTGTATTCTGTGGGTTATTTATTTTTTATTTTTGTTTAAAACTTATTTGTTTTAAGTGTTTAATAATGAAGTATTCATATTCAGGTAACTATATCACTATATTAGACTTTATTTTAATCATTTATTACCTACATATTTTATGTTGTAACCATATTTAACTTCTCTTGGTGTGTCTGTGTCTGTGTGTGTGTGTCTCTCTCTGTCTTTTCTTCCATAGTTCTCACTGTGTAGTCCAGATTAGCCTCAGCCTGGAGATCCTTCTGCCTGCCATAATGTCCTTAGTGGTAGGATTATAGGCATGTGCAGTGCCTGGTGTTTAGATTTATTTTTTTTGGTAATGCTGAGGTTTGGATTCAGGATTTTGAACTAATGCATCAAGTATGCTACCACTTGAACCACACTCCCAGACTTATTTTTTCTCCTTTTAGCATTTTTGTCTGTACTGCTCTGTATCATGATTCTTCTTATACCTCCTGAATAGGTGGGATTACATTGCTGTACCACCATGCCTAATTTCTTCTTCAACAGTCTGGTCTTGAATTGCAGTCTTCTCAATCTCTGCCTTTTAAAAGTTGAGACACTGTTTCTGGCCTAGATTTAACTTTTTAAACAGAGATTGTTACATTACTGTTTTTTGTTTGTTTGTTTGTTTTTGGTCTGGTCGTGGGGCCTGATCATTATAAAACTGTTTTGTGTATTTAAAATATTTTCTGATAGTCTAGAGATCTGTATTACAAATTGCCATTTAGACTGGGTATTATTATATTAAGTGATCTAGAGGTACCCTGTTGTACGTAATACCAGAATAAAGGGAGCTCATTCTGATTTTCTTTTTTTTTAAATTTGATTTTCTGATACATGGTCTAATTACAGAGCCCAGATTGGCCTGAAACTTGCTATGTAGCCCAAGCTGGCTTTAAACTTGGCAATCTTAAGTGCTGATATTCAGACTTGTACCACTATACCTGGCCCTGATTTTCCATTTTTTGTTATAATGCATTCATATAGAAATAACGTAAAATTTTAACCAAAACCAAAAATGATGGAATTATCACCTAGTTTAATCTGGGATGGGATACTAGGTTGCTATTTCACGTCTACTAAAGCCCTGAAGTGACAAGGGAACTAACTGCTTGTTTGCCATACCAAAATGTGTTCACTGAATTATCAGAAGACAATCCTATGTTATTTTCATTGTAACTACTTAACAATCTTGGTCTCTAGATAAAAGTATATGTTAAATGTATTTACTTTGCTTTTTTTTTTTTGCCACAGTATATATTTGAGTGAAATGTCAAAAGAAGTAAAAATTTCCGGAATGGGACAGAAATTTAGAATGCTTTCGCAAGAAACATCTACTACAAAGGAGCCCTTCCCAAATAATAGTAATAATAATACAGTATCAAATACTTTAGTTAAAACTAAGTTTTCAAACTGTCAGCTTTCACCAACTAAAGTCCTACCTGTAAATAAAAGTAGAGCTTCAGCTTCTCAACAGCAGCTGAATTCAATCAAAAACTACTTTCAACCATCTTCTAAAAAAAGGTATATTTTTAATAATTTCTCCTGCATCATTAAAATAATATTGGAGAGTATTATTTTCCTTTATCTGTTGTTTGCTATTTTAAGATTCTGTGGAAAGCTGTAGCCCTTTGAGCTATTCTGTCTCAGAAACATCCTGATTTCCTTTTACAAAAGTATTGCACAGAGTTTCATCTTTGTTCTCCCGTGCTATATTTGAGCTATTGTTTTGTTTGATGACTTCTAAAATCTCCTTCCTCCTAGTGCCCCTGGTAACTTCTCTGACAATATAAAGGGAATTGGCCTTATTGCAACCTAATTATTTCTCCTCTGCTTCCCTGTTGATCGTGTGTGTGTGTGTCTGTGTGTGTGTGTGTGTGTGTGTGTCTGTGTGTCTGTGTCTGTGTCTGTGTCTGTGTCTGTGTCTTAACGGGCGTGGGCACTGTCCCTGAGGTTTTGTGCTCCAATTGGGAATGAGAGTCTCAGGGACTTTCTTGCCCATGCTGGCTTCAAACCGCAGTCCTCAAATCTCAGCCTTCTGAGCAGTCAGGCTTTTAGGCATGAGCCACTGGCAACTATTTTCGTTATCATTTAGACCCCACCCCTGCTATTTGTGTTACCTGATTCCTACTTCAAACTACAACCTCTATTGGGCTTTCTTTCTAGTACTCTGATATTAGTGTTAATAGACTTTACTGTTCTGGTTCTTTATAAATCTAGCAAACTTCTAGAGAATAGAAATCTAAGTCATTGTCTGCTCTGTGGACCTTAATATAGTTTGCTAGAAGAAAGTGTGATACAGTATCGCATTGAATGCTTTGGTGATGCTTTCACATAATATTTGCAGTGTGTACTTGGTGCCATGTTCTAGATTTAGAATCTGGTTTGTTACTTTAAATCCAGCTCTCAATCTATCAGGTTATATTGCTAGGCTAATAATTCCCTGGCCACACTTCCCTACAGTATAATATAGGCTGCTTTGTTCTGGCAAGAAGTCCTTTGTACTTAGATATTTCTTCCTTTCTCCTCCACACTTATTAGCTAACTTTACTTCAGCAGAGGATATGGAGCTTCTCCATGTTGCTTTAACTATAGGATCTACTAGTCCTAATAGTAGAATGTACATGAATTGTGAATTGTTTCCAAATTTTTATTTGTTGATGTCCAATGATACTGTTAGTAAAATCAGGAGTGCATTGTAAATTAAATGGAAAGAATGGTAAATATTGGCACACTAAAATATTACTGTTATATTTTTCTAATCTAAGGGAAAGGGATGAAGAAAATCAAGAATTGTCTTCATCCAAGTCAGCAAGAATAGAAATGTCTTGTTCTCTTTTAGAACAGACACAACCAACGACACCCTCATTGTGGAAAAATAAGGCGCAAGATTCATCTCAGGATGAGCCCATGGGCAAAGAATCAGATAACTTATTTTCAGATGATGTAGATTTAAAATCTGATGTGAAAAATTCTGCCAGTAAATTTCTTTCTTCAGAAAAAAGAAAAATTGATATTTCAGCCATAGAAGATGAGATATTAGAAAATTTACTCAAGGACACAAAGCCAGAGTTAGAAAATAATGTGAAAGTTGAAAAGCCAGAGGAAGATGGGAATATTAGAAAAAAGCCAAAGATGGATATAGAAACAAACAACTCTAATGATGAAACAATACCGGAAAGGAGTAACATATCTGTAAGTGAAATTTTTAATGAGAAGTACTATAAACTTAAAAGTACCTTATTTTGTATTTAGGAAAAACTATCATCAACACCCAGTATAAAGTATGTGAAGATTTGTTGGTCCATAAGGTAAATGTTAAAATTACAGTGATGTTTTTCAACTATATAAGATAAATCACACAAAAAACGCAACCCTATTGTCATGTTTGTTTTGATGGGCTTTCAGATTAGATTGTACTGTTATAAAAAGTCATTTGGCTAAGTACTGGTAGGTAATACAGTAAGCAGCCACAGCAAGATGAAAGACGTTAGTAAAACAAAGTATTATATCAAAATTCAGGATCAAGTATGTATGACATCTCTAGGAAAATTTTGTTTGGATTTTGCTCATTAATATTCATGAATGTTGATACTTTATGTTTCTTATTATATCTGAGGAAGCTCTTCATATTATTAGTTCAGTCTCCTGTAAGTGGAATTGGTGACCTCATCACCTGTTAAAATTTCTACCTCCCAAGCTGCCACATTTGTAATGAATGAGGACATACTTAGCCATAGTAGTAGGGCACTAAAAGGGGAAAGGTCTTTTCCATCTGAATTCCTCCTTTCTGCGGCGCTTTTTTCAGGAAACTAGACCAGACATAACTTTTTTATTGAGCAAAATTTAGTTATGGATTGCACACACTCCCTCTTTCGCCCTAGTCTGAAGAAGATTTGGGAAGTGTTTAGAGTCGAACTTTACAACTTTGGTGGGGGGGGCGGGGAGGCTTGGATGGGGGGGCAGGGGGAGGCTGGGAAGGGATGTGAAGGGTAAACAAAGGAGGAGGCTGCAATGCTTGATAAGAAATGTACTCATTATCTTGTCCATGTAATTGTAACCCCTCTGTACAGTATATTCACAATAAAAAAAAAATTCCATTGGGGAAAAAAATCTTGTAAACTATTTGATAAAAGATGGCAAATAATATTTAGTTTCACAGAAATGCATTTATTAGCTATTGATTTAATCACAAATTATTTTGCAATTATAATGGAAAGGTTGAAAGATCCTAACTAGGAGTATGATAAAGAGAATGTCGGATGCTAACTGTTGTATCCATGTCAGATTACCATATACATGAGATCAATTGTTAATATAGCCTAATATTTAGAAATATGAATAAAAGATGTAATAAAAAAAAAGGTCTGGTCCACTCTAAGCTTTAGAAAAATTAGGGAGGGAGGGAATAAATTGATTCCATTTTGCACAGAGTAGGAAGGGAGAGGGCCCTTTGTTATGAAGAATTTAAGCATTTTCTGGCTGGGCACTGATGGCTCATGACTCTAAAACCTAACTATTCAGGAGGATGAAATCTGAGGATTACAGTTTGAAGCCAATATTGGTGTAAAATGTTATTGAAAAGAACCAGACAATGCTGAGATTTCAAATCAAGAGAATATTTACAAGAATATGTATTATTCATTAAGGTATTTATTAGACTAAGTTACTAAGGTAAAATACTCCATGGCTTTTAATCTTTGAGTACACGTGAATATGTTGTTTTCAAATTTATAGAGCACATGAGTAACTTAATTTTGATTTAAAAGGGATATGACTTGATTCCAAAGAAAAAGTTCAAATATCAGAAATAACCCTTCTTGCTATTTTCTTCAGTTATTTGAACTCTCTTGTAGATTATTACATCATAAGTCATTTTTCTTCTTCATCTATCCATTTTACTCTTCTTAAGGTCAATGATGAACTTCAGGACAGTAGTGAAATGCTTCCAAGAAAGGTACTACTGACTGAATTTAGATCACTAGTGGTTAGTAACACCACTTCCAGAAATCTGTGTGGGGTAAATAATAATTATGGTCAACTCAAGAATTTCAAGAAGTTTAAAAAGGTAGGTAATTTTTAAACTGCATCATTGGAGGGCATTGTTTGAAGTATTTTTAAAAATACCCTTGGGATTAAGCAGTAATAAAAGCAGATTGTTGAAAAAAAGGGAAAAAAAACTTAGGTTATTTCTTCTGCTTAAAAAGCACAATTCTGCAGTGGACACGATGAAAATGAACTTTGCAGCTTGTGGATGAGGATGGGAAGGAGAGAAAACCTGAGAGAGCGAGGGAAGGGATGACCTTATTCAAAAAGAAATACACTCTTTACCTGAGTTATGTAACTGATTTTTATTTATTATTGTGAGAATACCATACAGAGGAGTTACAATTACATGGACAAGATAACAAGTACATTTCTTATCAAGCATTGTTACCTCCTCTTTGTTTCCCTTTCCCATCCCTTCCCATACTCCCCGCCTTCACCCCACCTAATCCTCCCCCACCCTCCACCAAAGCTGTAAAGTTCGATTTTCGACATAACTACTTGTACATCTCATTGTTGCAATGGGTACAGCTGTATTCCTAGTTAAACGATTTGTATTTTTCCCTTCCCCTCCACAAATTATACCAACATCAAGTGAAGTAAGCCAGCCCCGAAGAAACATAGGTCCATGGTTCCCCTTATTTGCAATAACTAGTATATGTCTGAGTCAAGCAGAAAAGGTCAGATAAGTTGATGTTAGGGGAATGAATCACAAGATCAGTATTCAAATTTTTTTTTGTTTTTTTTCCTTTCATGCAATTGTCTCTAACATATTTATAAGATGATTTCTATGTTGCTTTGTACATCCCTCCCCCACGGTATAACCCATGTTTTCACTGTAACTAATTTTTTTTAAGCACAGTTCTAGCTGGGGAATGCTCTCACCTGTAATCATAGCTATTTAGAAGGCTGAGATCTGGAAGACTGGTTTGAGGCCCCCCTCCCCCCCCCCAGGCAAAAAGTTCACTGACTGCTTGTCAGCCAATACATGGGCATAGTGGTATACTTTTTTCATTCTAATTAAATCTGGAAGTATAAGAAATAGGATTGTGTACAGGCCTGAGCCTAGGCAAAAAGCATGATGCTGTGTCAAAAATAATTGTGGAAAAAGTCCTAAAGGGATCTCAGCAATTGAACACCCACCTAACAAATGTAGGGTGCTGACTTCAAATCCAGGTATTGCCAAAAAGAATTCAGACATACTATATATCAAAGAGGAAGCAAAAGAAGTTTATTAATAATTGAAGTATAGGAGCTCAGAGTTATTGTAAAATGGGTTGGAAAGAAGTAAAACCCTGAATAATGCTATCCTAGACAAAACAAAATTATTTTCTAACTCTAAGAAATTCAATCTATAATGTGTATAGAAAGATGTTTAAAAAGATTTTTCTCCAAAGAATTTGTCTGGGTACTTAAGTTTCATTGTAAATCAATGGCATGGATCTCTGTTTTTTAATTATTGCTTAATGATGAAAAATAATTTAAAATTTTCTTTCAAGTTCACATTAAAATTTCAAAATCTTGTTTAGAAATATTAAACTAATTACTTACCTTCTAACTTAAGTATTATCAGTGTTTTATATAACCCTTTCATAAATTGCCTCTTTGTTATACTCCTTTGTTTGTAAACAATGTCAAAGTGTAAATTACCATCCCCAATATTTTCTGCTAAGGATCTATAAACTACAAAAATGTATAAAAACATAAATTTTCAGGGCTGGGAAGGTGGCTCAGTAGTAGAGCGCTTGCCTTGCATGCATGAGGCCCTGGGTTCGATTCCTCAGCACCACGTAAGCAAAAAGAAAAAAGCCGGAAGTGTCGCTGTGGCTCAAGTGGTAGAGCGCTAGCCTTGAGCTGCAGAGCTGAGGGACAGCGCCCAGACCAAGAGTTCAGGGACCACAACCGGACCCAAAAAAACAAAAAAAACACATAAATTTTCATTTATTACTACCAAGGGTACAAACATTTAAATCAGAGTATTTTAAATTTCAGTATATATGTTCATATACTGAGTTGCTTTACTTGTAATGAGGCCAAGGCCATTTTAAAATAAAAACTACAACTTTAAACTCTTAAATTGTTCTTAGCTTCTGAGTCCTAGCAACATGTCTAAATCTCAGTATTGTAATAGCTAGAAAACTAAAGGGTTAAACAAGATGGGTCTAGCACAGAATTGGGTCTCTCACATTCAATTATAGATTCTTAAACATCCTTGACACTATGTTAGGCAATATTTATACTTTTTGCTTGTAAATTTTCTTAAAAGATTATTCATCTTTGTTAATATATGTAAACCTCCCAACTTTTACTACTTAACAGGTCATATATCCTGGAGCAGGAAAACTTCCACGCATCATTGGAGGATCTGATCTAATACCTCATCATGCTCGAAAGAATGCAGAATTAGAAGACTGGCTGAAGCAGGAAATGGAGGTTAGTAGGAATCTAGGTCCTCAGACTTTTTGTATTGCACTTTGTTACTTTGTTATATCATTATGTGCTTCTCAAAACCAAAATTAATTTGGTTTGGGGTCATTCACTCAGGAAAGGTACTAAATATAGACTAACATTTTGTTATGAAATTCTAGATTTTTGTTAGCTACAAAAAAAAGGTGGTATCTAAAGCTGGGCTGTAGTGTTTCATGCCTGTAATCCTGGCTACTTAAGAAGCTGAGATCTAAGGATCACAGTTCAAAGCCAGCCCCCGTAGGAAAGTTGGTGAGACTCTTATCTTGAATTAACTACCAAAAAGCCAGAAAAGAAGCAGTGGTTCAAGTGGTAGAGTGCTAGCTTTGAGCAAAAGCAGCTCCAGAACAGCACCCTAACTATGAGTTCAAACCCCAGAAGTGGCATGCGCATACACACATGCACCACATACAAAGTGGGATTTAAAAGATAAATTAAGTATGCATCCTAAGTTAAGGACAGAAATAAGTCTCAAAGACATTTAAAGGAGACTAAAAGATAATGAAAAGGATAGCTATAGTTTTATGGAGAATCTTGCACAGTATAACAATCAGGAATTGTGTTTCAGTTGTTCTGAAAACTTCTCATTTTCTTCAACAGTTATGCTTTCCCTGTTTTCTCTATTATTTCTTTCTGGAATTTCAATTTGACATTTGTTAAATGACTTCTATGTCTTCCTCTGGGCAGTGTTTTTGGTATTTCTTCAGATAATTTGGTTCATTACTTCTGTCTTCAACTCTAGCTTGTATTGGATCATCCACTGAGTTTTTAATTCAACATTTTGTATGTTTCATTAATAATAGTTATGTTTCATTTTTTTTCTAAATCTTATTCCCTACCAATATTTTTTGCCTAATGAAACGAACCACCACATTATTTGTTGATATGTTTTTTGCTATTCTGTTTTTTTCCTCTGACTATATGCTTTGTTGTGTGTGTGTGTGTGTGTGTGTGTGTGTGTGTGTGTGTGTGTGTGTGTGTGTCTGTGTGTGTGTGTGTGTGTGTGTGTGTACGTACACTGGTGCTTGATCTCAGGGTCTGGATATGGTTCCAGAATTTCTTACACAAGGCTAGTTTACTTCTGGATTTTCTTTTTGTTTGTTTGTTAGTTTTGGTAGTTAATTGGAGGTAATAGCCTCATGCCTTTCCCTGCCTGGTCTAGCTTCAAACTACAGTCTTGAGATCTCAGCCTCCTGAAAAGTTAGGATTACAGGCATGAGCCACCAGGACACAGCTCTAGTTATTTACTTTAAAATGTAATTTGTAGGATCTTCTTGAGTCCTATATTCAGGCTTATTTCCTCAGAAAAGGTATGTTTATCTAGTCTTACTTATTTTTTAACCAATAGAGACCATTTTCCCCTCTCAGCATCTACACTGAGGTATATCTTCTCCCTCACTTTTAAGTTAAAACCTGTTAAGTCATTCAGGCAGTTTTTATGTGTTGAAAATAATTAGTTATAGCTAGCTTGTTATAATATGCTTCAAGTGAGATTTTTAAATCCTTTCCTTCAGAAAAGAATGTGAAGGGACTACATAACACAAAGAAAATGTTTTAACCTATCTAAATGTATTGTGTACACCAGTTTCTGGAAACACATAAAAATAGTTTTAATATTTTAATCAAGCTTATTGAAAATGAACCTCTTACAAGTCTCAGAAAATAAATGTATTTTTTTTTTCCTTCAGTAAGTACAAAACAGATTTCTTTTATTCCTCCATATACAGTAATCTTTCTGTTTTGGGTCACTACTAGCATTTTATCTACTTTTCTTTCACATCACTTAGAACAGCATGCATACACACAGACACCAACAAAAAACAAAAAGTTGTCTATTATTTTATAAATACAGTATTCATTCTGAAGAATTACAGTAGTACACATAACAATGACAAAGTTAAAGCCTAAAGCCTAGAAATTGCTTGTTTAAACATTAAGTGACGATGTTTTAGACATCTCTTTAGGATATCTTAAGATTCATCTTTTTAGGAAGGTGAGAATCTGAACTGCAAATTGAGGAAGATTGGTAGAAGAAAATTAAACTGACGACTATGCCGAACTTGCATAAATATTTATTCCTTCCACTTTATTTTATTTTCTGAGATTCACTTTAAGACTAGGGAAAATATAAAAAACATTGTGAGATTTTTGCTTTAAGTTGCATATTTCTGCATATATACTACTTGTTTTCTGCCTTCTGTAAAGGGTATGGACATTGTTTGTGCTTCCTTGAACCTCACTTTATGGATTAGAATTAAATCTCTTATATCAGGCATGCATCCTGTCCTAGAAGAGAATAACAGAGCATTTCTGGTTGTTCTCCAGTTTTGTCAGGGATCTCTGGAACTTTTTTGTCTTTAGTCAGTGTCAGTCTCACCTTTTTACCTCCTGTACCATTAGTTCTTTTCCAATATTCTGCCAACAGTTGCATTCCTTGTTAAGGATACTTTTTTCCCTGCAAATTTGGACATTAGAAAGAACTTTCAGGTAGGGCTAGTTTTGTGGACCTTTTTCGTATGTTAGGACAGTTTTAGGAACCAGTCGCATCAGAATCTTCTTGGTCTATACACAAGCACATTTATCAAATCTGGGTTGGGTTAAACTCTTTTCCTTAATTATTGCTTTTGCATCTTGGTAATGTGGTTTTAGGGTTTGGGAAGGAGTTGGGAGAATGATGATGTAACTGCTTACCTTTTTCTGCATTTATTAGGAATTAGAGGTATTCACTGTGTTGTACAGTTATTTATTTATTTATTTAACGTTTCTTTTTTTATTGTGAAAATACTGTACAGAGGGGTTACAATTACATGGGCAAGATAATGAGTACATTTCTTTTTTTTTTTTAATTTAATTTTATTTTATTTGTGAACATACTGTACAGAGGGGTTACAATTACATGGGCAGGATAATGCGTACATTTCTTACCAAGCATTGCAGCCTCCTCCTTTGGTTTACCCTTCACATCCCTTCCCAGCCTCCCCCCTCCCCCCCAATCCCAATCCTTCTCCTTCCCCCCCTCCCCCCCCCCCCCCCCCCCCCGACGTTGTAAAGCTCGTTTTGGACATGTCATCTTGTACTTCTCATTGTTTCAACAGGTCCACCTGTATCCTTAAACAACTGGTTTTTCCCCATCTCCTCCACAAGTGATACTGACATCAAATATAGTGAAAGCAGGGGTTATACTGTGGGGGAGGGACATACAAAGCAACAAAGAGATAATCTTATAAATGCGTTAGAAACACATGCATGAAAGAAAAAAAAACATTAAAATACATATCTAAGGGTTCATTTTCCTGACATCACATTATCTGACCTTTTCCGCTTGACTCATACATATACTAGATATTGCAAATAAGGGAAACCATGGGACCTATGTTTCTTTGGGCCTGGCTTACTTCACTTAATATAATTTTTTCCAAGTTTTTCCATTTCCTAACAAATGGGGAAATGTCATTCTTTCTGATGGAGGCATAGAATTCCATTGTGTATATATACCACATTTTCTTGATCCATTCATCTACTGAGGGGCATCTGGATTGGTTCCATATCTTAGCTATGGTAAATAATGCTGCAATAAACATAGTTGTGCTGGTAGCTTTAGTGTGGTCTTGTTTGTAAACATTTGAGTAAATGCCCAAAAGTGGGATTGCTGGGTCATAGGGGAGCTCTATGTGAAGTCTTTTGAGGAACCTCCATACTGCTTTCCAAAGTGGTTGAACAAGTTTACATTCCCACCAACAATGCAGTAAGGTTCCCTTCTGTCCACATCCCCTCCAGCATCTGTTGTTGTTAGAGTTCTTGATTTTTGCCGTTCTAACTGGGGTGAGGTGATATCTCAGTGTTGTTTTGATTTGCATTTCTTTTATGGCTAGGGATGTTAAACATTTCTTCATGTGTCTATTGGCCATCCTTCTTTCTTCTTCAGAGAAGTTTCTCTTTAAGTCTTTCGCCCACTTATTTATTGGGCAGTTGTTTCTTTGAGGATTTGTTGTTGGGGCTTTAATTTTTTGAGTTCCAAGTATATTTTAGATATGAGACCCTTGTCCGTTGTATGGCTAGTAAAGATCTTCTCCCAATCAGTGGGCTTTCTATTGATCTTGCTAGGTATGTCATTTGCCTTGCAGAAGCTCTGCAACTTTATGCAATCCCATTTGTCCAACCTTTCTTTGATTTGTTGTGTTTCCGGGTATGAGTACATTTCTTTTTTTTTTTTTTTTTTAATTTTATTTTATTTTATTTGAGAACATACTGTACAGAGGGGTTACAATTATATGGGCAGGATAATGCATACATTTCTTACCAAGCATTGCAGCCTCCTCCTTTGTTTACCCTTCACCTCCCTTCCCAGCCTCCCCCCTCTCCCCCACCCAATCATACCCCCCTCCCCTCCCACACACCGACATTGTAAAGCTGGTTTTGACATGACATTTTATACTTCTATCAAGCATTGTAGCCTCCTCCTTTGTTTCCCCTTCCCATCCTCCCTCCGTCCTCCCCACCCAGTTCTCCCCGCCCCTCCCCCCCACACCAAAGTTGTAAAGTTCATTTTTGACATAACGACTTTTACATCTCATTGTTGCAATGGGTCCACCTGTGTACATTTAAACCACCAATTCTCTTCTTTTTGCTAGAGTAGATTTTTTGTTGTTGTTGTTTTTTTGGGGGTCCGGTCATGGGGCCTGAACTCTTGGCCTGGGCGCTGTCCCTTAGCTCTTCAGCTCAAGGCTAGCGCTCTACCGAGCCACAGTGCCACTTCCGGCTTTTTTTCTTTTTGCCTATGTGGTGCTGAGGAATCGAACGCAGGGCCTCATGCATGTAAGGCAAGCACTCTACCACTGAGCCACCTTCCCAGCCCCTAGAGTAGATTTATTGTGCGAGGAATCCTTTTTTCTGCTGTGGAGCCCCTTCTACCATCTCTTTCCCCAGCTCCCTACTAGTCTTTCCTCACATCCCTTGTCATTCCTTCC